AAAATTAAATTAAAGTAAAAAAAAAAAAAAAGTACCCAATTTTTATTTACAATTTGAAAAATGTTGATTAGGTCTAGAGACGGACAAAAAAACAGGAGGGAAAATCTTATGAAAATGCTTTTAAAAGTTTCCTGGTTTTAAATTTTGACATTTCAGCTAGCTCAAGTACTCAGATGTTACAGCGCTGAGTGTGGCATAAAAGACAACGTACATTCTCCAAGGCTCATACCAGTATTTCAAATAGATTGTGCATCTTTCTCTTGATGTCTTCAGAGTTCTTTTTTCCATGTGAATAACCCTTTCATTCCAATAGAAGTTTTCTTGGCATTCTCTTGGTAGAATTGATATAACAATTTATACCAGCCTTATAACTGCAGAATCTGAGCACTTTACACAATTGAAAAACTCATTAGTATAACTCATTCCTGTTGCTGGTTGGCTCTATTCTCCAGCTGGAAAGCAGTTGGAATTATTCAGTGTAGCAGATAAGCATGTATCCGACCTGCTATAACCTTGAACACCTATAATGTTTGGAATGTCTCAGACTTCTTTGAACTTATTTGATCCATCCCCAATAAAATCACAATAATTCAATCTATCACTTATCATTGAAATATTCTTTAGACTACACATAGCATTGAAATTACATCTGCATAACTAAAGACATGCAGTATTTCACAACGCTGTTTATGTAACTAAACTATTTTCGTTAACCTTGGTTAAATTACTAGGCCTGTATTGATGTGTTTCATCCTCCAGCTGCTGTGAAAGGTGGCCAACCCTCTGAATTAGAACACAAAGAAAAATGCCTTTGATATGAGGAAACATCTGGAGGATCGAGAGAGATGCGTGGTTTAACCTTGCCACTGCTCCATCTCTTTAAGAACATACAGGGCAAAATTGGCAGCTTTTCCAATTGCCCAACGTCAATTGAGGGTTTGATCTAGCATGGCTAGGGCTACTCCCTATAAGTTCAGTGTTTATGCTGTACGGGTGGTCAACCCACTCTATGGCACCACCTTCCTCACATGCTGTAGAGAGGTGCACAGGTGCTGCTTAGTCTTTAACTACCCACTAGCAAACTTCTGACTATACATCAGGGCCAAGGCAGAGAAACTATTATGGAGTAGCTTTCCAGTCTAGCATTTACTTTACCTAAACATTGGGAATAACTTCCTTACACCAGCTACTGCTGTTGGAGTTTGAAGCTGGGAAATTAAATGTTTGTTTACTTACATATTTCACTGGTTCTCAAAGGTTTCCATTTTGTAAACAACTATTTAAGATAGAAATCCTCTAGTACAATGGTTCTCAGCCTCTCTCAGTCCACGGCCCAGAACAATCATACCACAACCCACAAGGATTTAGAATCTGGGCACAATTTTGGGGGGGATTTGGACATCAGACGAAACAATGAGGTTTCTAAGTGTTATGGGGTAGAAAGACTGACACTGCTGTGGGGCAAAGGCTGATGGGAGTGAAGCGTGGTAAGGCAGGATCCATAAAAAGGGAAGAGAAAAATTAATTGGAGACTTAGATTCTAATTAGTCTCACCAACACTTGATTAGCACCCAGCAATACAACCTCCCTGTGCTGCCTCTGAACCTTGGCAGCTGAATCATACTGAGTGTAGAAAGAGCAACAATTTAGGATATCAGAAGCAGCAGTAGCAGCATTGGCTTTTCTGGGAGAGAAAACTACAGTGCAGGAAATGAATGAATCTTTTTAAAGGTGTACAAAATTACAGATGTTTTAAATAATACTATTGTTTGTTGAGATCTCTTTAAAAGGAATTCAGTGTTGGAGTTCTTTACTTACCCAAATAGTTTTCTTTGTAAAATAAAATAAAAACCATTTTCTACTTGGAATAATTTAGGATTGTGGGAAACACCTAGATGTAGATATATGCCATCTTCTAATTGACCTTTTCCCATGCCAGACTTAAAATTAAAGTTTTATTTTTTTTAAATAGAGGTTGTGTCAGGAGTCTGGGTAAAAGTAGGCAGGACTAGTATCAGGAGCTTGGATTCTAGGGGTCAGAGTCAGTATGAGGGTCAGGAGTCAGAGTGAGGAGTTAAGCCGAGCGACAGAGTCAGGAATCAGCCAAGGTATCGGGGTCTGTGTTGGGTTTCCAGTGGTCAATTAGGAGTCAGAATCGAAGTCACAGGCGAGGTCAATACCAGGAGTTCACGAGCAGAGAAGCAGGGTCATCATGGTAACTAACTAGGTATCCACATTGGTTCCTGGATACTTTCTGGCAGGGCCATCAATAGGGGAGTGTGGGGCCCAGTGCAAATCAGCCTGTATGGGGCCCCCCTTAACTTTTTTTATACAGGAGAAATCTGGTTACAGTGAACTTCAAGGGCAGCTGCTGGCTGCAGGTTAAATATTGATAGTGCCCAGCTATATAATTATAATATTGTTATATTATATTGTAGTTCTTTTTTCATAATTATAATGAAGTTCATATAATTAAAAAAAAAACCCTCACCGATCACGATCAGTGTCATGCTGCTTACGTTCTGAAATCCACCTTCCTGGACTTCCTTGAAGCAAATTCACTTCCCAGATGCATATGGTCTCGCTATCCTCAGTGGATTTTTTAAAAAAATTTAATTACACATTTGGAACACTGAGAGCCCATGTCTCAGGAACTGGGTGGCTCTTGGAGGGCCTATATGTGCCCTGGTGCTGAGGGAGCCCAGGACCCTCCAACATGGTGGAGACCAGAGTTGTGGAACCCCAGGTCCTGTACTGCGGGGATGGGGACCCCAAGGCTGGAGAGCTGAAAGGCAAGGAGGACCTTGAGGCAGAGGGATGACATTGAAGGACCCCACCCAGTGCTGGGAGAGGGGAGAAAGGGCAGTGGAAGTGGGAGGTGTGGGGCACTGGGGGGACACCAGTGCTGGGCGATGGGTGGGGGACAATGGAGTCTACTGGCTGGCACTCATCTGTGCTAGGGGCCCACCAGAAAAGGCAACGGTCCATCCAAGGTGGAAGGGCAGGGTCAGGGTCAGCCTGGGTCAGCCGGCCCTGGCAGTAGTGGTTGGGGGGTGTGCTAGGATCCTACAGTGGCAGGCAATGCCAGGAGATGGCAGAGCGGAGCAGGGTAGGGCCGGGTCGCTCGCTACTGCTGCCGCAGAGACTGAGCCCGAGCCCAGGGGGCTGCGGGCAAGAAAAAGAAATAAACGCCCGGGCTGGTGAGTGTGGGACGCAGGCCCGGCCTGACCCCTGCTGCCGGCGCCAGGCCCCCCACTAGACCCCTGGGCTGTCCTGCCCCCCTGCATCCCTCTGAAGCACAGGATCCCCCAAAGCGTGGGGCCCAGGGCAGTTGCCCTGGTCTGCCCAATTGATGGGACGGCGCTGCTTCCTGGTATGCCCCATGAGTTTATATACGGATGGGGAGCCAATCAGGAACCAGTAAGACCACTGTCAGTCAGACCACTAGAGGCTGAACTTCCCATGGTATTCGACCTCTGTGGATTGTGGGTTGTAAGTAATAGCCAGCTTACGGCTGTGGAAGTGTGGCACTGTTGGTGGTCTGGTACCCCTGCAAGCCTGGGTTCAACTCCTGCTGATCCTTACAGATGGTGTAATTACATCTCCCCATATTTAAAATTACTGTAGGATCTATCCAGGGGGAAATTAGTAGACTTCTAAGGTATTTTTCTTGCTCTTTTCTATTTCCTAAATTATTTGCTTCATAATCAAAAGTTCTGCTTGCAATCTAAGGCAATTTAAGATTTGGATTTTTCAGCATGGCAGTTTACTAACTCAAATAGGAAAGCTATTAGAGATTTGGAAATGGTTCAAAATGTACCATGTCCGAAGCATAAGGATCTGAAATATTCATAACATTTAGAACCTGAACCATAATTCTCTAAAAACACTATCAATTCTATGGGACCTTGGTCCACAGAGAAGAACCAAAATAAAAAGACTTTGTTCCACTTTCAAACCTGGCCCAATGTCATTAGTTAAGGTTAAAGAGTCCTTTGACACAATAAAAACCTAGGAATCAGGATTTTGCATATTAAAGACCCAAACTTAATCTATAGACTTGCAGCCACAGGATTTGAATTTGTAAGTGCCTTCAGTGTATAAGAAACTCTCATCTTGCTGTTAACTTTTCTTAAGAAATTCTGCTATTGTTGAAGACAAGGATCAGTCCATTGATTGATATCCACTGACACCTGTCTGTGAGGATGGGGATCCTAGAACTGTTAGCTGTGCGTGTACTTACCAGTGAAACCAGTGGAATCACATCTGAGGCTGCTGGGGCGTTGTTCTATGCAGATCAGATTGTGGGTAGTGGAAAACTGTCCGTCTTTTCATTATTTCGTTGATAATATGAGGTTTTGTTTTCTTTATGTCTCCTTTCTTCCCTTCCCATCTTCCCCATGAAACTTTGTAATTTAGTGCTGTGGATTAGGAGTTGATATATTTTAAAAAATGCCCACTTCCCTAAGAGTTGGAATGTTGTTATCTGCACCATTGCTATGACTTGTCAGAGCCATGACTTTGACGTACTGCAGTCAAGGAGGGCATAGCTTCATTATCTTTAGAAAGCTTGCCAAGGAAACATTCCAGACACCTTCTAGTTTGTGACTCTATTTGAAAGCAAAACTTTTCTTGGGACCAATAAATATTCTTGGAATATGGAGCAAAGTCTTTTTTCATATTTTTTTGCATATAGAGGATTTTATATATAGTTTTCACCCATTGCCTGTTAAGTTACCAAAAATGAAGTCTTTTAATGGTATAACATCTCCACCCCTATCTTTTTCTGTTTGTACTGCTCACTGTTTTTAAAGCTCTGCTTCAAACAAAGCTACAAAACCCATAAATTAGCAACAACTATTGCCTTCAACCTCATTATCAGCAAATGGCTTAGAGTGCTATCAAATTAAGTGCTTCTTCCTGTTGTCTTTTATGCCCACACAAGATCAGATAACACTCAGACTTATTCTGCTAAAGCAGCTGATGAAAGCTTTTTTCTGCTTTCCTCATGAGGCTAATAAGGGGGAAAAAATGTCCCTTTATATAACCTCTTCACTTCCGCTGTGCCATTTAGTGGTCCCTTTGACTGATCGGATTGCCAGTCACAGCAAAATGACTGAATACAGGTTTAGAATTTCCCTTCCATGACAGCAGCTGTGCTTTTCCTCCATTCACTTCATGGATTAATCAGCCCTTTTACTAGTTAAATGTAGCTGACTCCTTTGGTGCCCAAGGCAATGATATTATGTAAGGACGGACACACGTCAAAAGGTTTGGAATGTTACTGAGCCCACAGCTTCATTTGTTCCTGCAATGCGTCTTCTGTGCAATAAAAAAATATTGAGAGGAACTGAAAGTTTTCAAACCAGGAGGCTTATTTTGATATGCATCTAAGCAAGAGAGATTCGCTATACCATGAAACTGGTAAAAGGAAAATAAAAACAAGAAGCTCTCACCTTGACTATGAAAATTAAATACTAACAGGTCCAGAACAACATGATTGTATTCATAAGGAAAGAAGTTTTGTACTTGCTGGCTTTACTAGCATGTTTTGTTTGATTGGATATAGATTATGGGAAAGAGGTTTGCATCAGACAAATGGCTCATATCAGGATTTTAAATAGTCTTAGAAAATTGTTCATTGGCAGGGTCAATGTTTTATGGTCTGATCCGGCCTCCATTGAAGTTAATAGAGAAACTCCAGTTTAACTCAGAAGAGCAGAATCAGGCAATTAGTGCTTGTGTTTTCTGAATTGAAGTGTTAACTCAACATACATTAAGGGTTGCCTCCAAATTGTGTAAACTTGTTTTCAGTTTTTTTCAAAGGAATATTTTGCCTGTCGATACTCCCCAGTTCAGAGCTTTCAAGCCTAGATTGTAATGCTTAGCAGAGCGACAAAGTTAGGACTCATCTTCACTACTGGGGCAAGTCAACCCAAGTTAGGAGTCGATGTAGCTTAGATTGATTTACCTTGGTGTTTTCACTGTGCTGCATCAACGGGAGATGCTCTCCAGTCGACTTACCTTATTCTTCTCTGGGAGTTGAAGTACCGGAGTCAACAGGAGAGTGCTCTGCAGTTGATTGAGTGGGTCTTTACTAGACCCACTAAATTGACACCCGCTGCATCAATTGCAGCAGTACTGATCTTCCTGGTAGTCAAGACAAGCCCCTAGTTTTGTTTTATTTAACTTTACTGACAGCTTTTAAAATATCTATCACATCTTTATGGAGCTAAATGGTTATTTTTATCACATGCCAAGATTTTATTTTGGAGAGACAGGCGGGAGGTTCCTGTTCAGATACAGACAAGTAGTGTCATGTACAGGGGCTGGTGGAAATCTTTTCTGTGATTTTAACCTAAGTGGGTTCACTTCCTGAGTTTTGCCTTGAATTTCTTATTGAAACTTACCCAGATTCTCAAAGAGAAATTCATCTGAAAACACAATCAAAAATCTTCATAAACTCATGGCTCCATTGACTTCAAGTCTATCTAAAGCTCTCCCCCCCTGACATTATTTGCAGCCTTTATGTTAGCAATGGAATTGGCTGGGCAGGACAGCTGATCTGAGAGGGAGCTACTGTGTAATATTCAGAACATTGAGTCCCCTGGTGCTGACCATATACCAGCCAAAGCTTTGCAGCTATTCAGTGGCCTAATAGGGAACTAATTACATTGCCAAATATGCTTCAGAATAAATTAGGTTTTACCAAGAGATTGCAAGGGAATCAAAGTCATGGTTTTCTTATGTCATGATATTCGTGTTACTTCTCTTTCTGGGAGGGACTAAGTTTTGCCAGTTAACTTATACTGATGGAACAACCATCAAGAAACGGGCCAGTGGGATCCATCAAGTGAAAATTGTATAAATAAATATTTATTGATGTTACCATTGTATGCTATTGTTAGAGGGCTTTCCCTTCACCCCCTCCCCTGGTTCTTGTCATGCAGACAGAAAGCAGAAGGCCAAAAGTCCGAAGTGCAGGAAATGTGATGTTTATTGGGGTTAGTTCCAAACAAGCATATCCATAGCTCTACACACCGGCAGAGCCTGTTTCCCAATGTTCCGTTCCCAGCTCCGATACCGCAGAGCGATTACCCCATATCCCCCTTCCCAGCTCTGACACCGCAGAGAGATTACCCCATATCCCCCTTCCCAGCTCTGACACCGCAGAGCCTTTACCCCATGTCCCCCTTCCCAGCTCTGACGCCGCAGAGAATTGCCTGTGTCCCCATTCCCACCTCCTCCTCCTCTTCCTTGGCAGGCCCAAATATATCTGCAATGCATGCCCACAGTCCCACACCTTTTGTACCCCATAAGAGGGGTAAGGAGTGAGGGTGTGCTATGGTCAGGGACAGGCATGTCTTTGGCTTTTTAGTGTTTTATACCTTCCACCCAACCCCACTTTGCCCTCCTGACTGGTTGTTTGACCTTGCCTTTAGATAGGGGTTGTGGCAATCTTAAAGTGTGCACTCGAGTAACACTTTAACTGCTCTTATCTGTTCCTATTGTACTAAAATAACCATCTGACTAGGCAAAAGGAACATACACAGTCTTTGTTCTTTGTTTACACATATTAGTATAAGATAAGAGTATCAAAAGGTCAAACCCAAAATTGTATGTCAGGCTGAAAAACAGGCGTATATGCTAACAGCTATGCAAAATGTTAGGCCTTGATAAACACAAAATACTATAAAAGAGTGGAAGTACAATGAGCTGAACATGCAGATATAGTTTGCCATACAGATTTAAATTTTCTCTGACTGCATTAATCATATTGCTTGCAGTTTGTATTCAAGGAAGTTCTCTTGATTCCTGGAATCTATTAACACATTCAAAATGGTCTTTAAGGTAGACAGTAGGGAGACTGTGGTATCTGAGGACATCAAAGTATATATTCAGTGCTCCCTATATGCAACAAAAAGCAGAATATCAGTGCTACAAAAAAGTTGCTTGCTCTCACATTGCCTTAGAACTGTGACGGTGTCCTACTCTCCTGCTTCTGAAACTTCCAACTCTTCCCTTTGCTCCCTCCCATGAGCTTTCCTCCTATGAACTGCACTCCATCAGGCTTCACTTTCTTCTTTCTTTCCATGTGGCTGTTTTCGATCACTACTTCAGCTCCTTGTCCTCATTCTTTGTTGATATTGACATCTGGCTCTCCATTTCCTCTACACCTAACTCCCTAACCCTCTTCCCTCAATTGAGTAATATTAGGAAGAAATGTTCCATGTGGGCATTTTATTATATAGTTGTACATTATGGGTGTTTTTACACCTATATCTGGAATTGGCCCATCTCAGAGACAGAGCATGGGACTAGATGGGTTGTTGGTTCCTATATCACTGTACCTATTTCCTCTAGATTTACACCATAGTAAGTGCAAGCAGAATTTAGTCTTATAGCAGTCACTGCTGGGGCTGCAGGACATTGTTTCCTTTCCTTATTTGTATTGCAAATTTAGTGCTCATGAAAGATGCATACCTATTTGATCTTTCTTTGGTGAAGGAAGGGTCTCATGACAGATATATCACTGGCCTTCCTCTCAGATGTCGATGAGAATAGGCACACAGAAAAGAAGGTCATAGAATCATAGAAATGTAGGACTGAAAAGGATCTCAATAGGTCATCTAGTCCAATCTACTGCTTCCCCACCTCTCCACAAGACTCACTACATTGCCAAAGAAGGATATTAGGTTGGTTTGGCAAGATTTGTTCTTGATAAATCCATGTTGATTGTTACTTATTACCTTATTATCTTCTAGGTGCTTACATTTTGATTGTTTGCTCCATTATCTTTCTGGCTACTGAAGTCAAACTGACTAGTCCATAGTTCTCTGTGTTGTCCTTATACACCTTTTTATAGATAGTCACTATATTTGCACTTTCTAGTCCTCTGGGATCTCTCCTGTCCTCCATGATTTCTCAAATATAATTGTTAATATTTCAGAGATCTCTTCTTGGAGGAGATGGTTGGGAGTGCTCATGTAATCTTCATGCTTGATTCTAATATTGACCAGGAGGAACATCAAGTATATAGCAATGGAGAAAAGAACAGCAGTAGGTAGGAGAATGGGCATTAAGAGGAAACATAGTGCCAGTATCAATGAAGCTAATAGTCAGGTAAGGGATAGTGGCAGTAGAATGACTGTACCCAGTCGGGTGAGGAAGCTGGGTGAAGCCAAGCAGAAACAGATGTCTGTATGCCAATACAAGGAGACTAGGTAACAATATGGAGGAACCAGAACTATTAGTGCAGGAAATGAAACCATATATTATAGGGATAACAGAAACATGGTGGAATAGTAGTCATGACTAGAAAACAGGTCTTGAAGGGTATGTGCAGTTCAGGAAAGACAGAAATAAAGGTAAAGATGTTGGAGTAGCACTGGATATTAATGACGAGGTAGGCTGTAAAGAAACTAGAAATGATGGAATAGATAAAACAGTTTGTTTGGGTTAAAATCACTTTGAGGAAGAAAGCTACCAGAGGTTCCCATGGGATAGTGGGTGG